GGGGGTCCTAAAAGCTTCCTCACAGATATTAAACTGTCCTTGCTATAAGGCAGCATGAATAAGACCTGGATTCTAATTCTGGTGGCAACACAATGACCAAAACAATTGGCATTACCACTCACCACGCGACGAAACAAGAGTCCAATGTCAAAAAAGTAATCAGAACAAAGCAGCAATTGAGACACTATGTGACAATCACATAAAGCCCCCTTTTCTACCCTACCTTATGATATACATCTTTACAGCACAGCACTGTACCCCAAGGCACCTCAGGCCTCATAATACCACCCAAGCTGTCAAGCTTCACATATGCCTTTCTAGACAGCGGTTTGTGTGTAAATAACATTATTCATTCATCTGAAGATGCTCCACACATCTGGTCAAGGCAGGAATTTCTTCTCCTTGATAACACCACCTAGAAACATTAACAATATTTTATATATTCCTTAGGGTAACAGATTTGGAGAGAAAAATATCAACTGTGGTAGCTAACTTATATGAACTTGTGGTGACTACTCCAGGCATCCTGTAAGTCCATTCACATTCTCAGCACTAAAATCAATCCTCACGCCATACACTCCAGCAGCAAAGAAGCGATATGGGTAGTAATGAAAGCAACTATGTGATTTTTCCACTCTGTGAGATATGGCAAGTAAGCAGCTCGAACAGGAAAAGGAAACAAAATAATGTATGTTAAGATGATGCAGAAAAATTAAAAATTAATATAATCAAGAGCAATTCATCTACTGTGAAATAGATTTGAAATTATGTAGTCAACAAAGGACAACACAATCTCTCAAGCAAGAGAATTTCTGATCAACTCTAGCTGTCATATCACTGCCGGGAAAAGGAACCATTATCAAAAATACACATCAGTGCTTTTCTTAAACGCAGACTGTAAAATGGGTGCTCCTTGAGGCACTGAGAATATATATGTATATATTCTAAGCAATGAAAAGTGAGTATTTGAGATTTTGCCACTAGATCCAAAATGTGATCAGCAACAAGAGACACAAGTAAGGTCACCATGCTCGTAAATTGAACTTTAGAGAAGAGAGATGCCACGAGAGAGTGGTGTCGAAATGGTTTAAATACGTAGTACTTTAATCCTCATTACGGATCAAAGTTCTCTGCGTTCCTCTCACTGAATGATTTATGTAGGTAACAGCCGTTAAAACACTGAATCAGAAATGGGTAAATCACTTGGGTGAGAGATCATCCACCAAGATGAACGGAGGGCATGAATTGGAGCATGCTACTGGAGACTCTGCGGTTGTGCTGCCTTTAGCCAGTGAGTCTGAGGATAAGCCACTGCTGCTACTGCCGCTACTACTGCCATCCAAAATGTCTGAACTGAAGACAAAGCAAAAAGAATTATAAGCAGATGTATCTCTCAGGGTAAAAGTAAGCATAACACGCAACAACACAGTTTCCAGAACTCATGAATCACTACAGCATTTGTAAGTAATAAGACGTATGAGAGCAACAGCAGTGAGCTACAGCGCTGTCCGTATCCGGACGCCCGCGAGAGCGCAGTCACAGCCAGCGACAGTAAGACACTCAAGGTTCTCTGTCACTTGGCCGCTCTCCAGGAGGCACCAGGATGTCAATAAGCATTCCTCTCGACAGGTCATGCTTTTCGTCGGGTTGTCCCGTTACCTTCAGCTAAAGATATTTCTATCCTTATATTTACCTTCTTACCGTCCCATCAGCCCCACAGTAGAAGGAAATGGTCCCTCGGTGAGGGACCTGCCTGGAGCTGTGTGAAGTTCCCGATCAAGCACAGTGCTGCATGGTCCCTCGACTCCAGAACCAAGTCTTTCAACTGTGCTACATTTTGCCACTCACAAAAGGCCTTTCATTCGAACACATTTCTGTCTAATTTCCTCCACTATTTGCCTTTGATATTCTTCTCATTTTATGAATTTCTTACACTGTTTCCTTTCCTCTTGCTTTCAAAACCCAAAGGTCTCCCTGCCATCTCTAAAAGATTTTTTTCTTTGATCCCGTCTATTACTATCCAGTTAAGCTTCTAAAAGAAATGCCCTACACCCACAGACCCAGTACCCTCACAGCCCATTCGCCTCTTGAATCCTGATGACTGGCTTCTGCTCCTACCCTTCCACTAAAACTCCTGACCTGGGCATCGAGACCCTCTACAGCCCAGGGCAGGGATACCTTATCCATCCAGCCCAAGCCCTCATGGCTCCCAACAATCAGTCCAGCCTGCCTCATAAATCTGCCTTCACACCTCAGCATTCACAATCAAGAGCCTTCACTATTTGGCAGCAGGCTGCCTTTCTGGCTTTGATTCCCATCAATCCAACATATAAGCTCTATGCTCTAAGGTTGGCCCAAATTCACTCATTCATTTATTCTAATACCGCTGAGTTTCTGCCAAGTGCAGGAGGTATGCTAGATATTAGAAAAACAATGGTGTATAAGACAGATATGATCCCTACCCTCGTCAAATTCACAGGACAGTGCAGAATGCAGACACTGAAATAATTATGCTAACAAACATATAATTATAATCTGTGATCAAAGCAATAAAGGAAAGATACAAGGGGCTCTGAGAGTATGTAACATGGGTAACCTAATCTAATTTGAAGGAACAAGCCTCCCTAAAAGTTGTATTTGAGCTGTCATCTGAAAGATGAGTAGACATGAACTAGGTAAGGTTTGGGAGGAAGCAAGGGTAGTTCCAGAAGCCAAAAGCAGGTTAGTGTGGCTGCAGCTAAGACAGTAAGAAGAACACGATGAGATAAAGCTGGAGAGCTAGTCAGGCACTTTTAGGATTTACACGGACATACTTCATATTTTTGAAAAAGAAACAAGGCACAGAATTGGAGAAAGAAATATGAATCTGAAAATATGGGTTCTAGTTTAAGTCTGGTCACTAACTAGCTCCTTCGCAAAGGCCCATCCAGATATAATGTGCTCTAAGCTGAATATTATGAGTCTTTAATATTATCATTTTTATAAATTTCTAAGTTAATATATTTCCAGTGTTAAGCAACCTGTGGTACATCTGTAAGTTTCTGGGCCCTATACCACCCTCAATGAAATATAACTTCCCACCGCCCCCTGTTTCTCTACTCTTCTATTTTTCTTCAAAATGTCATTTCTATTGCCACTGGATTTTTTTTTAGGTGGAGACAGAGTACAAATAAGCTTCGGAAAAGTAAAAATAAAAATGGAAACAGTATATTCCACAGTACGCCTACTCTATGCTCTATGCTGTCAAATGAATCATTAATAATACCACTTTTAAGAAAGAAGTTTGGATAATTTAGCTGGCTCTGATATTTTTTCAACCAAAAGGCAAAATAGGTCTAAAATATGAATTATTCAAACTACTGAAAGAAAGTTGCACAGATAATCTAACACATTGGAAAATCAAAACACCTTTATATTTGCTTTGGAACATATGTGATTTTTTTTCCTCCTGCAGCATTTGGCCTAGACCAATATTAAAATGAATTCATTTTCCTAAAGTACATATTGGCTGGGCAGCCGAAGGACATGCTCTGTGCTACTCGGCAGGAAGAAACAGGCTTGGATTAAAATTTGGCCACCAAGCAGATAATCTGAATATAAATAAAGACTTTCTTATTCCAACCACCAGACTTATGGTGAGCCCTGAGTTAAAAGATTCCATTTGTAACAAGACTTGCTTGCTTAGGTGAATCTTGTATTCATTCAAAAACACAGAACATGTGGGTGGTGGGGCACAATACAATATACAGATGATGTATTATAGAATTGTACACTTGAAACCTATAATTTTATTAACCAATGTCACCCCAGTGAATTCAATTTAAAAAACACAGACCATGCAGAGAAATCTGTCATCTAGCACTGTTGGTTAGCTTAAGAGAAATAAACTAATGGGAAAGTTACCGAGAAAAAAAATAAATCTGAACACTTCAGTTCATATCTTTTCAAGAATTTCTTCTCTATTATTAAATATAAACATATGTAAAATTTTGTCCCTTAACAGAAAAACAGCATACTTAAATTTAGCCACCAGTGCGATTCAGATTCAGAACTTAGTAAACCATTAACCAGATATTTTCACTAAACTAAAATCTACTTCCTGTTAATTAATCTAGCACTACAACACATGGTCTGGAAGCTCAGACTACAAGTCACAAATTACCCACTGTTAGTATATCTGCATAAAGCAAGATTAATGTGATATTTCAATCCATAGATCGGTAAACAAAAGTGATTTTCACTGTGTCTGCTATTAAGCCGTCTAGCAGGGCTTCTAAAAGCAACAGAATATGGTCCATTTTGAGTTTCTCTCTTCTTCATTTCCTAGTTTAAGCTCTGATGGAGGCGTTAATGAGCCTTAGACTAATGGCCAAAAGCCAGACAAGGGCAGGAAAGCAAACAACCCACACAATTCAAATTGAACACAGGAGTACATGACTCGAAAGTGAACTAATTCATTCCAGCCACTGAATATACATGTTGAGGCAATATCTGAACCACACAAAAATACTTATGACCATTAGAGTAGTGCCTTCTGTCTAAAAAAACTAAGGGTGAAATGTTAAGAGAATCATTCAAACATTCAAACAACAAAACTAAAATGTCTGCTGTGACTCTTACTCTCACCCCATCTGGTTGAGACACTTTGCCTTGTCCAGTCAATCAACTGGATTCTGTCAGATTAATGGCAGACACGTAAGTGCACTAAAAATTAGCCACAGCCTTATCAAGCCCAGCAGATGTTGGTGTAAAGTAAGACTGCGGGGCATCCCTACCCCTTGATGTGGGTTACGCTGGTCTACAGGGCATTTTCCCTGCTCCCTGCTATTTTACCTTAGGAAGGCCCAAGATTATCTTTCTGCATAACCTCTAAGTTTTTAAGATCACACATCTAAATACGATCATTTTCAGTCACCTTGGGAACAGGAGTTTAAAAGTATCTGCACAGATGTCTAAGTTGTTCACAGAAACATCTTCCAAGTATATGTAGACATTTCTATTATTAAATAAATCATGATTAAACCTTATTCATGGTATGTCACATATTCGCTATGAAATTTTCTTGCCATGACACATACAGCATTAAAAATAATGTTAAAATCACTAAGATTTATCTAATAAAAATGTTAAAATAAAATCATAAAGGTTAAATTAGCAGTCACATTAACACTGGTGCATGGGGCAAGAAAAGTCCTTTATTTTCGTGCCACAGATAGACTTATTCCCCCCAAAAGGAAGAGAAGAACATGAGTTCCCCTTACTCAAAGAAATCAAAGCACCAAGCAAAGGTGTACTTCCGAGCTTGATCAAACTCTTGATGCTCATGAGGACTAAATACAGAATGACACAATTCCTGCCTTGTGTGACAATGCTCCCCAGATCTGATTAGCAGAGATTTCAGGATTTTCAGTTAGTAAAAAATATGATATAAAGAACAGCCTTACTATTTCTTTGGGTGGCAATTGGCACAGTGAATACCAATTCCAAATGGGACCATACTCAAAATTCACTTTTCTACGTCAAAGATGTCATATTCTAAAAGTTATTATCTAGTATATAAACTTTAAAGTGTTAAAACCCATCTTTTCTTTACAGGGGAGGGGAGGGAATGAACTATAACAATTTAAATGATCATTTACTAATGATCTGATACTTTTTCTGCTTCCTAAAAGGTATAAGAATTGTTTCCTGAGTTTCATTATCAAGTAGATTGCCATCTTTGGCAATAAAAAGCAGAGCACAGCTACTTCCTGTCTTTCTCTCCCCATTTCTAGGAATATGGATGTCTGATCAATGAAAGCACATTAAAGAGATAGAAAAAAGTTTCTGCAAAGGCAGGATCCAATTTTTACATATCAGGAATAACTCATCTTTAAAATCTCTTAGTCGTGTACACAAATATCAGCATTATTATTATACAGGGTGTCCCCAAAATCTTAGTGAAATCTTAAATTTTCATATCCTTGGAAGTCCAGGTGCTACAAACTTACTAAAAATGTCATTTAAAATTTTAATTGCTTAAATATATTTGACACTTAGTTTTGTGAATCTTGAGTAATGAATTTCTTTTTAGCGTATCACTTGAGCCACATGTTGGCTCGATCACGCTCTGAGTGACTGTGAATAAAGCACGTCTCTCTGGTGGGAAGGACCCTGTTTGTGTTTATGAATCAAAACTGCCCTTCCTCATCAATGTCAGTGTCCCCAGGGCTCTCATAGCCAGTCACAGGCCCTCAGAGAATGGAAGCAGGGGCAACAGAAACAGAAACTTCACGACTGCCACCATCAACTACAGCCGGAGTGGGGAACCTTTTTTCTCCCAAGGGCCATTTGGATATTTATAACATCATTTACGGGCCATACACAATTATCAACTTAAAAATTAGCTATGAAAAAAGCCCCTAGATTTATTGAATTTTGCGTCCCACCTGTGGTTGCCTTGGCAGGGCCAGACCAAATGATTTCACGGGCCATATACGGCCCGTGGGCCAGACGTTCCTCACCCCTGGTCTAAAGCTTAGGTTGTGCTGCTTGGAGGAATAAATGGCTGAACAGGGGAAGAGGGCTCTTGGTAAATACCGCGCCTTCCCTTTCCTTTCCTATTTATTTGCATGAACCTGTTTCATGGCATCCTGCACAGTCAGTCTATGACAATATTTTTTATAAATCACCTCACCCTGTCTGTATGTCCTTAGCTTGGCCAAAACTTTTCATATCTTTTACCTAACTTGGTTACTTGGTTGGTAACTGGGTAAGAAATCTATTTATAATGTCATGTGCCTATATTAAAACATACTTTACCATAAAAGTGACATGTAGTTTCCACTAAGTATAGAGTTTCATCCACTAGTCATCTTGACAAGCTTTAGAGGTTTTCTCTTTGCTATGGTCTACATACCTGGAACAGCGCTCTGTACCAAAATTAGCACACTGAGCTACCAAGGACAGACAGACAGGAGAGAGAAAAAAACGGTGGGGCTGAAAATAGTTAGAACAATCTAAAAGGCATCTGTTCCAAGGTTAGAACAGTACTGATCTACGAGTCTAATAAACTAGAAAAATTTGACTCTTTGGCCAACTAGAAGTACAGGTTAACTTCCACAAAACACGGAATAAGTGATCTGGAAAGAAAGAATCACTAATCCTTATACCTTATAAGTGGCTTACACAATTCTTCCATTTAGAGGACACCAGCCTTTTAAAGTGAATGTCCTCATGTGCTCTTAAAAAAAGGCCCATAAAACCTGGGGAACAGAAAGTTCTGAAAGGCAATACACAATCATGTCTAGGACATGGGTGCTTAGTGAGTTGATTAGAATGTACTTTAAAATTTCAAATTATGCCCAGCTGGCTTGGCTCAGTGGTTGAGCATCAACCCATGAACCTGGAGATCTCGGTTCGATTCCCGGTCAGGGCACATGCCTGGGTTGCAGGCTCGATCCCCAGTCGGGGGCGTGCAGGAGGCAGCCGATCGATGTTTCTATCTTATCATTGATTTTTCAATCTCTCTCTCCCTCTGAAATCAATAAAAAAAATTCAAATTATTACTATTCCTTCCCCTTCCTTCCAATATGTCTATCAGTATCCAAGTGCTCAACTTCAGGTACAGGAAAATAGGTTAACTTTAGCACAAAAACACTGAAGGGCCTGAAGTTAGACACCCAAACTAGGATGAGTAAGACTAAAAAAAATATGTGAATAGACCATAGGAATCAGGAAGTGTTACTATAAAAATGAAACCTTAGCCCTGGCCAGGTGGCTCAGCTAGTTGGAGAGTCATCCCAAATAACAAAAGGTTGCCAGTTTGATTCCCAGTCAAGGCACATACCGAGTCTGAGAGTTTGATCCCTGGTTGGGATGCTTATGGGAGGCAACTGATCTACGTCTCTCTCACATCGATGTTTCTCTCTCTCTCCCTTCCTCTCTATCTAAAATCAATAAAAAGATCCCATATCCTCAGGTAAGGATTAAAAAAAAATGAAACCTTAGCTAGCAGTGATGAAATACTCTAAATTTTTTTTTTTAATAAATAGATTATTTTTATTTTTAAATATATCTTTATTGACTTCAGGGAGAGGAAAGGAGAGGGAGAGATAGAAACATCAATGATGAGAGAGTCATTGATCGGCTGCAGCCCACAACCCGGGCATGTGCCCTGACCGGGAATTGAACCCTGATCGCCTGGATCCCAGGTCGACACTCAACCGCTGAGCCACACCTGGCCAGGCAATACTCCAAAATTTAAAAAAAATATTTTATAACAACAGATAATGCTGTTTAGAAAATGCCATGCTGAAGAGAATAGTGGTATTCTCTGCTAAGTCAAAAGGATAGAATACAAAATGCAGGCAAAAGAACTACAATCAGTGCACTACTACCCTGAGCAACCAAAAAACTCTCACACCATCCAGCTCTTGACACTCTCCCACACCATTAGCACCTACTGAGACAGGCTGACCTAACAGGAGCGAGTAATGAAGGTAGACGTGCCAAAAAGTACTCATGACTTTCAAATGATCTGCTTTTCCACATTATCTATACCTCTATAAGATTTCCCCTCTACAAAGCATGGATATAAAGCTGAATATATTTTAAATGATCCCTCCATACTTTTGATGTGGCTCTTTTTGAATAGATCATATACCCTAATATCCTTTTGATTTGATTTCATTTTTTACCATGAACTGAGATCAGACAATTGTGCAGTCTCCGGAGACAGCATATTGGTAGTGCCTTGGAAGAGCCTCTTGGGCTGGCTTTCGGTCTCCATTTCACCTAAAACCAAAAGAGATACTACTGTAAAACAATTTTACAGGCTTAGTGCTAAAGTGGCACGATCTTTGTTCTTTAATAGAACAAAGTCAGGTTCTTTAAGAACACTGATTGCATCAGGCAAAATGCATCAAGGCTAACCACAGTAGAAATAAAGTATCTCCAAATAGCTGAAATTCACAGCGAATAATAATTTATGCTAGATGATTAGTCAAGACCTGATTTAATATGTTTTTATATCAGAACATTTCCTGAGTTGAAGTCAAATGGGTTAAAAAGTACTCAGTCTGGCCCTGGCCGGTGTGGCTCAGTTGGTTGGAGCAGCATCCCGTACACGAAAAGGTGGCGGGTTTGATTCCTGGTCAGGGCACACGCCTGGGTTGCAGGTTTGATCCCTGGTCGGGTCACGTGAGGGAGGCAGCCGATCAGTGTTTCTGTGTCACATTGATGTTTCTCTCTCTCTCCCCCTTCCTCTCTGAAACATCAATTAAAAAAAAAAAAAAGTATTCAGTCTGATAAAGAGTGTATAAATCAAAGGTTGCTTTAGACTACTTAGTAAAAATTAAGGTTAAAAACACAGTCATGGGCTATATAACGACGTTTTGACCAATGACAGACTGCATATAAGATGGTAGTCCCATAAGATTATAACGGAGGTTAAAAATGTCTTTCACCTAATGAGGTCATAGCCATCATGAGGTCATAGCACAACACATCCCTCAAGTGTCTGTGGTGATGCTGGTGTACACAAACCTACTGCACTGCCCGTCATATAAAAGTATAGCACTGCCCTGTGTGGTTCAGTGGTTAGAGCGTCAACCCATGAACCAGGAGGTCATGGTTCAATTACCTGTCAGGGCATATGACTGGGTTTCGGGCTTGATCCCCAGTGGGGGGGAGGGGTGCAGGAGGCAGCCAATTGATGATTCTCATCATTCATGTTTCTCTCTCTCTCTGAAATCACTAAAAAAAAAGTATGGCACTTACAATTATGTACAGTACATAAAACTTGATAATTATAATAAATGACTATGTTACTGGTTTATGTATTTACTATATGATAATTTTTATCAGTTTTCGAATGAATTCTTTGTATTTATTTAAAAAAAAAAAAGTTTGGTGGCGCATTCTCCCTCCTGGAAACACACCCATGCCTTTCCCTGTCCTTTCTTTTTCCTCTTGGGCATTCATCTCCTAAACTCTAAGGAACCCCACCCCCATGAGACTGGCAGCCAGTAGCTTGCCCCGGGCTAATTCCCAGAACCTGTCTCCAAGGCCCCCTTTTCTCTGACTTTCTAGAAAGCCAAATCAGCCCCACCTAGGCACTCCTATTGCTTCTTCTATCCTAAGCTCTTCCTTGTGTCAGTGTTCCAGCTTTAATAAACATACTCTCAAAATTTAAAAAAAAAAAAGTTTGCTGTAAAACAGTATGTCGTGTTACGCCAATAGCAGCCTCATACATCTTGTCTACCAAGTGCCTTGATTGCATCATTTTCTCTTGTGCTTGATTTGATCTCACGCTGTTTTGTACACTCAGACACAGTATAGACTTGTCCAGTGAGGAGCAATGCCATGGGCTATGCCATACGGCCTAGATGTGTAGCAGGCTATACCACCTAGGTCTGTGCGAGTGCACTCTACGATGCTTGCACAATGATGAAATCGCCCGGTGACAAATCCTCAGAACATACCTCTATTGTTAAGGGATGCATGACTGTATAAGTTTGAAAGCACATCTGTAAATGAAAGCAATTATTAACCAATTCACAAAATTGGTATTAGACTGACTGCCTCAGTCCTACGGATTTTCTCAGAACTGGTAACAGAAAAACTCTGCATCAAAGGAACAGTGCTTAACATTTTGCCACCAGGAGTGCAAACACTAACATCCTAAGTTAGACAGAAAAATTCCTTTTCCAACTAAGCTATGACTTAAAACATGCACATATCTTGGTTTTGAAGCTCTTTACCTGAGCTTGAAAATGGAATATTAAAGAAACTAAGTCATAGGCCTATCTATACTCTAGTAGGAAATTAATAACTGTGAACTTAAACCTGTACAAGATTCTTATGATGGAAAAAAAATCAAGTGAAAACAAATACAACAATCAATTTTTTCCATTTATCAATTAATTCATATCATCTTTCCTCTGGAGCTACTCTGAATATTACTAAAACTGAAGAGAAGTTGTATTTTTATTTGCTTTTTCCATACTTTAATATGCAGTTTTTAAAAGCTGCAGCCTGTATCTAAACACCTCATTAGCAAAACACTTGAGCCCTTTTTAGCAAAGAATTCCTCCATCTGCTGGTATGTTTTGGAATAGCTTTGAAATTAAACAACTAATTCCACCGATTTCCTGCAACAAATTTAAATTAATAACAACAATAGCTTTACTTTCCACGTAGTATTTTCACAGAACAGCTCCTGAGAAGGTCCTTAGGACTGTAAAGAATTCCTTAAAGAATTAAGGGGAAAAACTATTGGTTTATAAAATAAAATTTATTCACTAATACAAATATTGTCACTGTATCAGGATCTACTTTCCAGAACACCCCATCTTTAATTTTAAGTTGTCTGAAATACAGTACTTTTTTAATCTGTGGAAAATTTTCACCAAAGCCAGAAAGTATCCGTTTATGTAGCATGAGGAGGGCTGATTTGTTTACTGGCCCCGAAGGTGATCTGCACAAAGAAACCACTTACTGAGTTGCCTTTTAAAATTATTGCTAAAACTCTTGTTTAAAATGACATCCAATACTTGCAGTCACGTGGTCATATCCCCAGGAATAATGACTAAACTATGTTAAATTTCTTTGCCTTTTCTTAATAGATTCCATCAGGTGCCCAGAAGCATCTAAAGCTAGCACTGAGTCAGATCATTTTAGTTTAGTGCTCTGTGGTACAAACTAAGGTAATTAAGAGAGCACCCCAATTATAGCAAAAACCCCACAGACTTCAATATGAGGCAATTCTCTCTTTGCCAAGGTGTAATTTGGTGGAGGCTTGTATTTGAGAAACAGCTTCTTTATAGACCTATTTGCTATGACATAAGCATATATTTCTGCAACATATCAATTTGCATCTCTTTTATATTCAGATCACCGAGAGGCAAAATTTTGGAATATATATTGATAATATGAATATATGAATAAGATTCAGTTATGAAGTATTAAAAAAGATGGGCAGGATCAAATAACTAACTTACAAAATTTAGAATTAGTACAGCATACATATGGAACAGTACTACATATTTCTTTAGGAAAAAGAAGTCCTGCCTTGAAACTAATTTCAAAGAGAAATTCTAATTTGTAATTCATGTTCGACTAGGTTTAATATCAGAAACGCGATGCTTACCTTTTCTTTTAATCGGACCAAGAGCACTGGGCTTAATGCACTTGACTGGACTCTGACTCCTCCTGCTTCAAAGAACAAACACAATGACTCGAAGTACTTCTAAGAGGCAAGATCAACACTACAGCCACCAAATAAATCAATAAAATTAACATTCACAAAGGAAGAAAGAGAAAATGCCTGTGTTGTAGGTTGAGAAAATGAAATCCCAATACATGATCTGACCTGGAATATGGCAATCTGGAATAACATGGTGTTTCAAGCTATGTTTTAATCATCCTGTAACACAAAATATCCACAACAGTTTCTTTAAAAAATATAAACCTTATTAAAAAGTTATTTGGGCCCTGGCTGGGTGGCTCAGTTGGTTAGAGCATCATCCATACACCAAAAGGCTGTGGGTTTGATTTCCGGTCAGGGCACATGGCTAGGTTGCGGGTTCGATCCCGTTGGGGCACGTACGGGAGGCAATTAATTGATTTTTCTCTTTCACATTGATGTCTCTTTCTCTCTCTAAAAATCAGTAATAAAAAAACATATCCTCAGGTGAGGATTTTTTTTAAAGTTATTTGGATTTGACTAGTCTACAATCTTAAACTTTTTCCTTATAAAAGGCATATTATTGCGTGCGCACGTGTGTCCTCTGAATATAAACTGGCACTAAAGCCTGGCTGGTGTGGCCCAGTGGTTGAGCATCAACCCATGAACCAGGAGGTCACACTTCGATTCCCAGTCAGGGCACATGCCCAGTGGGCAGCGTGCAGGAAGCAGCCAACCGATGATTCTCTCTCATCACTGTTTCTATCTCTCTATCCCCTCCTTCCTCTCTCTGAAATAAAAACATATTTTTTAAAAACTGGCACTAAGTCTCAAAAAAATGAATGTAGTAAAATGTTAATGGTAGAATATAGGTGATAGGTAGATGGATGTTCACTGTGCAATTCTTTCAATTTTGCTTTCTGTTTGAAAATTTCCATAATAAAATGTTGGGGGGAAAAGTTCATCAGAGAAACAATTTTAATACATAGCATTCCACCTGCATTTAAAAAGCAGGTTCACCTACCTGGAAAAGTGTCTCGGACTAGGAATGGGACTTGGTGGTAGCCCACTGCTGCTCACAGACATTTGTAAGGATGGTGAAAAGCATTGCTAGAAAAACATATTTAATATTAAAATAGTTCTAATGCTCCAGTTTTCAAAAGATTCTTCTCAAAATGATGAAAACACTCCTATAATTGTTTAGTTATCTATATATGTCATACGTATATATATGAATGAGACCATATATATATACATATATATATATGTAATTTTTTTCCAAATTACTATCATACTTTCATTGACTTTTCTTCCAGTCATTGGATTCTCTAAAAGTGAGGCGATTTGCTGTCTCTGTCACATCTCTGTTCCTCCATGTTTCTGCCTCCTCCATGAGTCTCTATCACCCCCTTGTATCTGTCTCTCTTGTCTTTGTCTTCCTATCTTTATATCTGCCTCCCCCCGCCATGTCCCCATCTGTTTCCCCCTTCTCTCTCATTGTCTCTTCTGCTGTGTTTCCATCTATATCTTTGTCTCTCTCTGTGTCCCCATCTCTCCCTCTGTCTCTATCTCTCGCCCCCCTGTCTCCTCCCTCCTCTCCCTGCCCCCCTTCCCCCCACCAGTCTGCTCAGGCTCTGGGGGCCTCAATTGCAGATGTTCACACTTCAGTGGCTGCTTCTGGAACTTCTCACCACCCCAGGCCCCTGGGCCTGCCCAGCAGCAGTCAGTCATCTATCCAGCCTGCTGGGGACTCCCACTCACCCCCATGGGGCTTTAGCAACCAGGTATTGGAACAAACTCCTCCCTGGAGCAGACACTGTACCACCTGAATAAGGACTCCCTGCCACCAAGGGCTTGGTGAGGCCACTCCCTGCTTTCCTAGGGAAGTTGGGCACAGAGATGCTGAGGCACCTGTCTGATCACTTCTACTTTCTTCCCAAGGGGGTGTCCTTCTTGACATCTAACTGAAAGCCCTCTTGCTCTGGCTTCATCTGCCCTTGGTCTCTGTGACTCAACTTCTTCCTAGAGCAAAGCCTCCACCAGCAGCATTCAGTTGGACAGAGGTTGCTGGGCACACTGCCCCCCCAGGGAAGGCACTGAGGAGGTGACCCATAGGGGGATGGGCACTGACCACAGTCATATCTGGGGTGAGGGAGAGGAGGTTGAGGTTCAGGCTTGGGGAGCCGGGGGAAAAGGGAGGTTAGGGGCTGCCACCACCTGGGTCCACGCAACAGAAAGGAAAAAAAGAGTGAAGCGATGTGTGTGTGTGTGTGTGTGTGTGTGTGTGTTGTAGAGTAAACAGTTCAGTGTGTGAAAGAGAGTTAATATCTTGTCAATGAGCCTACCTTTCCAAGTCCTCTGGTGGGTGATGGTGCTGGAGAAACCGGAATGAAGTCAATCCTTTTAGGAGAATATAATTTCTCTGGCTTGTCAAAATCATTGTCACTCTGTAAATATAAAGTGTTATTTCCTCATAATTCACAATTCAGCACATCACAGCTCTTCTTTACTACTCAAACATTCCTATATTTTCAGAGTACAAATGTATAGACTCTAAAAAGTTGCAATAGAATATTCTGGTAGAAAAGCAGAGATAAAAAATGAACACAAATTTAGAAAAAGAAGGGACAGAAATGTATGAAAAAATTAGTAAAGCCAATGAACAATACGAAGGTTTCTATAAATTAAAACACAAACAAACAAAAAACCAAGCAAATGAGAAAACTTTACCAGGCTTAAGCTCTCATCCCAAGATTGGCTTATCTGCATTGCTGTTTGCACTTCCCTAAAACAAACAAAAGTGAAAGACCATCAGTGCTCAGAAACAAGACATCCACAAGGCTGTGCCCTATTCTTGTGAAGCGCTAACCTTTCATGAGCAGTTTCTCTCTTCATCATATTCATACCTTCCTCCTGCAAACACAAACATGTGCTGAAAACATAATATTTATCCACACAGCTCTACATTTCCAAGAAAGGAAAAAAGACTTTTCTACCTTACTGGACATAATCACAGTACAGCAAAAATAACATTCTAAGACTGTCACCCATGCCACATCTATATTTTATCTGAACACGCAGAAGAATTTTAATCTGTCTACAACTAAATGGCTGCAGCCTACTGCATTTTTTATATCTAAGTCTTCAAAATGAAAATAAAATCAAACTGTAATATTCAGAAAATTACAGATCTGCACTAGAAAGTAAATTTTACCATTTTGATTTGATGCAGTCTGCTGTTAGAAATCCGATTAGGTGAGGATGACAGCAACTGGAAAGAAACAGTAAACATTTACTATTTTCTGAATCGCAAAGCAGCAATCTGCTGTCAGTACCAGTATACGACCTCTTACTAGATAATTTTTCATATTCTTCTTAGAAAACTAGCTCTTTAAATTACTGAACATTAATGCACTAGAGGCAGTACATTCAGTCTCTAGAAAGTACACCAGGTGTCCAACCTCAAGGCACCATCTGTCGCTAGACAGGCACTGACTTTAACGCTTTCCGCAAATGAATGCAGAGCTGTGTACATTTATGTAAAAACAAAAGTCTCCAGGCCTTGGAAATATCCATTACCCCACTAATCTAAAATAAAGAACTATATAAGAAGGAAAAGAAAAAACTGATTTTATTCATTTTTATTACCAATTCACCAATGGATGAAGACAGACCAAGAAGCCCAGTATAATACTGTGTCTACGATTTATGTTTATCAAAAATACTTTAAAACCGCAATAAGATTTTGTTTTCATGACCTAAATCAATTCTAAAATTTGATCACTAATGCTATCACCACAAACCTTAGTAGTTAAGAAAAATCAATGTGGAAGGCAAGGTGTATTTTTAAAATAACTGTTGCTTTCCTTAGGTCACCGTTTTTTAATAACACAAACTGAAATGATTTGGGGGCCAAATTATCTTCCTTCAAAATAATCACAATCTGATTACAAAATGTAAGATAAAATTCATACCAACGAATCTTATAGGGTTTTAATAGCCATAATATAAATAACTACTATTTATCCCCTAATGAAATGCAAATGAAATTGTAATACTATAAAACCAAATAAGACAATTATCCTGTTACAAGAGGCCCTATCCTATTAAAACTTTTTGGAATACTAATGTAGTGAGTAGTATAAAATGGTGATGAACTGCTCTAAGTTGTTTAAGCAAAAGCTAATTTGGCCCGGCCGGACGTGGCTCAGCGGTTGAGCATCGACCTAGGATCCAGGCGATCGGGGTTCGATTCCCGGTCAGGGCACAGGCCCGGGTTGCGGGCTCGATCCCCAGTCGGGGGCGTGCAGCAGGGAGCCGATCAATGACTCTCTCATCATTGATGTTTCTCTCTCTCTCTCTCTCTCCCTCTCCTTTCCTCTCTCTGAAATCAATAAAGATATATTTTTTAAAAAGCTAATTTGGATAAAAATTTTTCAAATTATCCACTGAAATATGATTTTACCTCAAAAGATAGCTCTTCATTACCCACCCCTTTCTTTAACTTTTTCCTCTCCTACGCTTTGTAAAGAAAAAAGCTTTACCAGTAAAATCCTTTTTAAAGGTACTTTTTCCATTATGAAAGCAATATATGTTTACCGGTGAGCCCCTAATAAGGCCATTTGAAAAACACTAAGCTACTAAGCAAGTAAATAAGGCAAGAAAGACTCTTAGCAGGATAATATAAAGGAAGGCATGGACGTGTCCATCAGAGAAAAGAAACTCCAAAGGCAGGGAAATAATCAGGACAGCCAGAAAGAGCACCGCCAAACCTGACTGCGGAGAAAGTCAGAAATGTACATGCTGCACTTGCACGATGTACAACTTGTCAATTTTAGACAGAACTGGAAAACAGACCCAAAAGAGGGACAGAGGAGCAAAGCCGTGTCTAGTCCCAGAAACAAGAGTAAGGTATAGGCTGAGAAAAAAGCCAAAAACTGCCCTGGCCAGTTTGGCTTGGTGGTTAGAGCATCGGCCCTCAGACAGAAGGGTCCTGGGTTTGATTCCGGCCAAGGGCAAAGTACCTTGGTTGTAGGCTCCCATCCCTGGCCCGGGTCAGTGCTCCTGCTGGAGGCAATGTTTCTTTTCTTCTTTTCTTTCTTTTCTTTTTTCTTTTCTTTTCTTTTCGCTTTGCTTTGCTTTTTTCCCTTCTCCCTTCCTTCCTTCCTTCCTTCCTTCCTTCCTTCCTTCCTTCCTTCCTTCCTTCCTTCCTTCCTTCCTTCCTTCCTTCCT